AGCCCGCCGTGGTGCTGCGCAAGCCCGTCTTCACCACCATCGACAAGCTGCTGCCGCAGACGCACGGCCACAACCTCACCGCGCGCGTCCTCTCCGCCCGCGCCGTCCTCGACAAGCCCGCCGCCCGCACCCGCGTCGCCGAGTGCCTCGTCGGAGACCCCACCGCCACCGTCCTCTTCACCGCCCGCAACGGCCAGAGTGAGCTTCCCCTTCCCCTTCCCCTCCGCCCCATCTCATCCGCTCTGCCTTGCTTTGCTTGCCCCATGTGTGGATGAATAATGTACCTTGCCTCTGCCCTTGTGTTTGTTGGAGTTGGACCCACGGATGGATTCGCCCCGTGCTGTTTGCTGACAACGCCCTCCCCTAGTATACATTTGTAGATGATTTGTGTAGATCTACTTGCTCTTGTGCCTTCTGTCCTGTTCGATTGACCAGTTTCATCTACCTGCATTGCTGTCCATGTTCATCCATTGACTCTTTGGGGACAGAAATTTGCTTGCAGTTACTTACCATGGGCGCAGTCATCATTTCGTTTTCTGATTAACCGATGTTTGTAGCGATGTACTGGGTTCTGCATTCTGGGGGAGAAAGCTTTCAAATTGGCTTGTATGTACATGTTGATTTTCAAGGGACATGTAGCCTAGTTACAAATTGGTGCTTACAATACATGCTTGTTTGTTCATTCAATTCTCATGAATCAGTTGCAGTTACCTTGTGTGATGTTATTTGGGTCCTGCATTGCAGTACAAGGCTCCAAATTTGGCTTGTAGGTACATGCAGACTTTCAAGGGACATGTAGCCTACATTGTTGTTTACGCTGTGTGTGTGTGTGCTTATTTATTGTAGCCATGTGTATGTATACCCATCATCTTTTGATTTTCTGGTAAACTAGTATTGGTACGAACGCATATGTTTCCCTCTGGAATACGGGTTGGCCTGCATCAGGGAAAGTATCTGTAAAATTGATTGACTTGTGCACTTAATTAAGATTTGAATGTCCATGAACAAAATTGCAAGTTAGAGCATAAAACTGGGTGTATGCTTAATAACTGGAGTAAAACTCACTTCTGGGGGACATGCTGCATTGTTGTTTATGTTGTTTACATGCTTGTTGATCCATCCACTGTTTGAGGACAGACAATTGCTTGCAGCTGCTTACCATGGGTGCAGTCATTTTTTGATTTTGTGTTACACTAACGTTGTCAGTTATGTCTCGGGTCCTGCATTGGAGGATAAACCTCTGAAATCAGCTTTTGTGTGCATGCTGATTTCAATGGACATATAGCCTAGCTACATTGTTGCTTGTATTATCAGTTGCAGTTACCATGCTATCATCGCTTGATTTTATGTTACACTAATGTTGCTAGTGATGTATTGGGTCCTGTATTTGGGGAGAAATCTTTGAAATTGCCTGAAATTGTTGTTAACAGTGCATGCTTCTTTATTCATCAACTGTTGGGAATTCAGTTGCAGTTATGATTGGTGTAATCATTAGCATTCAATTTTCTGTTATACTAATGTTGGTCAGAATGCATAGTTTTGCCTGTGCAATATGGGTTAGCCTGCATTAGGGAAAATATCTCAGAAATTGACTTGCTTATCTATGATTAAAGTTGCAAGTTAGAACATAAAACTCAGCATTTGTGATTGGTAACCAATGGGGGTACACAAAGCCACTTGCTTGCAATTGCTGTGGGTCTTAGCAGCATTCTATCTTCTGTTCCATTATGAGAATGTGCTACTGCCACACAGATTAGGATGAGCGTATCATGCATGCTTTACTTATTCAACATGATATGTGTCTATATGGGTTGATCATCTCTAAAATTCCTGTATAGGCTGTAGAGGGACATGCATGGGGCAAATTTGTTCTTGTTACGAGTTATATTGCTATTTACGCATATCATCATCAAGACTTGTTGAAGTGAAACTGTGGATGCTGAAACCACCTTATGCATATCCTGTTAATAGAGGATGCCCATAAGGTGATTATTGGAACTGTCTGGATGATGTGTGATCTACACTTTCACTTCCTGATAGAAACCATACTACATAATCTGTTTTCCCTATTTATAATGACTGTTGCTGATTTCTAATAAGTAACCAGAGTCGGTTTAGTTCATCGCATTCTAATGGTTTATTTATCTGATTTTGAACGGATAACATTTTTTGAACATTTATGCGCCGTGTACAAGTTGCAGCACATGGCTCATCTAACAAGTGCCATTTCCCTGTCAACAGTTGAGATGCTGAAGCCAGGCAACACGGTGATCTTCCGCAACGCCAGGATCGACATGTTCAAGGACACGATGAGGCTGGCGGTGGACAAGTGGGGCCTGATCGAGGTGGTCGAGGAGCCCGCTGACTTCAAGGTGAACGAGGACAACAACATGTCGGAGATCGAGTACGAGCTCGTGAACGTGCCGCCGAAGAAGCAGGAGCGTAAGAAGTGAGCGGCGGATCGGGCCGGCTCTCTCTGGCTGTGGACATAGATTTTGGGAGGCAGTGGGTAGCAGTAGTAGGTTCGCTTCATTATCCTGGAATGCGCTATTAGTAGTAGTGAAAAAGGCTTCAGCAGGAAGGAAGGCCTGGTCTCTTTGGGGTTTATGGATGGATGGTGTTCTGTGTCGGTGGTGGCGTCGTGTAACTGGCCAGCCTATTAAACTTTGTTGGTATGGAGTTTTGGATGCTGTTCTGATGGCAATATTCTGGGATTATCAAGTGATGTGCTCTTCTGAATCATGAGTAGCAGTGTTAATCTGTCAACTATTGTCATCTATCTATCTATCTATGGCTCTGCAGGCTGTTTAATTTCCAGGTTGGAGATATTACAAGATGTATCAGCCATGAATCCTGATACTTGTCTGATGCCATCTCATATTGTTTCTCGTGGTTGCCTACTTGTAGTGTCAATTATTATCATTTCACAATATTTTGATGTTGTGAAGAAAGCCACAACATTGACCTGATTAACATTTGTGATTTCATAGCAGGATCATATTCTACACCGCTGGCTTCCTTGTCCCTGTGTTGACCTCTACTCCATGGGGAACAGCGGCAAGAACCCTGGTAAGGAGTTAACCTGCCCTTTAATTTGTTCGTTCATGCTGTTGTTCCAGCCTAATTATTCCGTGTCTTTTTCTTCAGTTGCAAAGGTTACAGTAACATCTTCACTCTAGTCTTACAACTCAACTAAACTGCAGTACAGTTAGATATAGCACATGACACTTGCAGTACAGTTGAATATCATGATACTGATGTAAAAGAATGAAAGAAAGAAAACAGAAATTGTCCCAATAGTGTGGCCTTTACACTTTAGCTTGCTACGCAAAGGATCCTCTTGAACTTGGGTCTCTAGCTGTAGATTCCGGCAATGGAGTCCAGCATCAGGCTTGTGATAAGCTGGTTTGTTGTCTCTGTCGGATGGACAGCATCCCAGTACAAGTACTTGCTTGGGTCCGGGCATGTCCTTCGCCCTCTGCATGTCTGGCCAACCTCGATCATCCCTGACCCGCAGCACCCTCTTGACACCTCCGTCAGCCCTACATTTCATTCATTCCGCAAAAGCAGCACATCTGTTAACCATGCTCAAGAACTTTCTAATCATGCACGCTAATGTTTAGAAGAGATCTGAAGTGGCGTTACCGTAATTCTGAGGGTTGTCTGTTGCCGCCCGTATGATTGTGTAGGTATCTATGTAGGTGCTCTTCATTCGGGGCTGGTAGTTGACGAAATTCGACAGCTGAACCAGTCTCGAGTTGAAGGAAGCCGCCAGCTGGTTTAGGTCGCTGTCGCATCCATCTGGATCCCTTCCGAGCAATGTTCTTGCGATCGGTAGGCAGCCGATCGGGGGTAGCCCGACAAACACGAACCTTCTCGCTCCAAGCATCCTCATCACCTGCATTATGATACATCCAGCATTGATCACAAAAATCCCAACACATACATGTGCATGACTGATGCCAGGTAGTTTGGTCCATAAATTCATGCTTACCTGGGTATAGTTGCCGAGGCGTGCTATCAGGTGGTTCTCATACCGCAGCATGGCGATGGGGCCAGCTGATCGGTTCGATGCGATGTAGTTTAGGAGCATGTCATTTGTACCAGCACTTATGATGAAGGTCGCCCTGTTAACAATCCGCTCTGCTCTTCTCAGTCCGAGCAGGGCTCGGATCAGTTGCTTGTAACGCCAGAAGTGCCACAGTTGTCTCCGGAATGGCAACGCGCTCTGCAAGTAAGAAGCTTAGCTAATAGCTACCGCAGCACTAATTGTTGATCACCTTCCAGTTATAAGCTTGCACTATTTTCTTACCATGCCATCTACGAAATCTCCCTGATTAAATCATTTGCCATCATGACGTACATTCATGAATGAGTAGCTCAATTTCATTTAGATTTCTTCAACATCATTACTTTTTTTGTCCTACAGGGAAGTTTTATTTGCCAGTGAAGTGAATCCAACAAGTACATAATCTTTTTTGGGTCCTGTTTAGTTCAACCTTGTTGCATGACCAGTCATGCCTACTATATGAGTTTAACTCTATTAGGAGGCAGGTTTGTTTTCATGTGAATGAACCACATATGATCTTTGTGCTTTACAAATTCACTAAGATTGCTATCAAACAGATACATTTTCATGCAGTGATATGACTGAAAATATTAACAGTTGATGCTGATGACATACTAATGTGTTGGCAGTGATATCGTCGTATCCAGAGCCCGCCGACGCGAAGCTCACCCCCTTCCTGAGCTGCCCCAGCTTGAGCGTCGGGTCAAGGAAGCCCGGGATGGTCCTCATTATACCGAGCTTGTCCGCTGCACAACCACCGCAACTCTGCCAAGTCAGGTATCCTGAAACAACAGCAGCAAAAGGAGACAGAGGGAGAAATATGTAAACTGTTACCCAGCATATCAGTGGCCAGCCGGCCGTTGGTGAAGCGGCCGGTGGGCCTGCGGCCGTAGAAGTTGACGCCGTAGGGCGGGAAGTTGGCCTTGGCCGTGGTCCGCAGGCGGTTGTTGTTGCCAGGGTCCACCGTCGAGTCCCCGAACACGAGGAGGGTGGTGCAGACCGCGGAGCGGTTGCCGCCCCTGGGTGGCTGTGCTGGTGCCGCCGCGTCGGGGTCCTGAATTGGTGGCACGACCTGTATTGGTGGTATGATCTGCTGTGGCGGTGGCGATGGAGGGTCCTGCTGCTGCTGAGGCGGCGGCGGCGGCGGCGATGGAGGCGGAGGGTCCTGCTTCAGCGGCGGTGGCGGTGGTGATGATGGAGGGTCCTGCTTCCTGGGAACCGGCGGGGCTCGTCCATGTGATGGTCGGTGTCGCCGCGGAGGCGATGGTGGTGCGTGCTGTGGTGGCGCTCCTGGGTGTTGCGGCGGTGGCGCGGATGCCTTTGCTGGTGGTGCCGGTGCCGCTGTTGCTGCGCAATGCAGCTCCCCGGCGGCGAGCAGCAGCGCCACCAGCACGCCGGCCAGCAGGAAACCCCTCATGGCTTTGGTTGACGGTAGCAGAGTGTGAGGCAGCAGCTAGTTTTCAGCTGGGGAGGATGAAATCATGTGTATATGTGGGTGAAGGGGTGAGCAGAGTGCGGTGGGGTGGTGGCAGGCAGCAGCAAGGTTGGGGTTGGGGTTGGGTTGGGATGGGATGGGATGCAAATGCAGTGGAAGGAAGCAATGCAAAGGTGGCTTGGTGCCTGTTAGGTGAGTGCTTGTTATGCCTGGGCTGGGTTCACTTTGTGTGAGCAGCAGCAGCTTTGGACTGGGAGGAGGATTGTTTCTAGGTGTTTCATCCGCAGAGCAGGGCAGGCAGGCCCTTGCTGGTTTGTAGGTCTGGGTAGGGGAAAACAGGAGGAGAGGGGTTAGTAGTAGATGGTGTCATGGTTTGCTTCACTGGTTTCTCATCTTCTTCCTCTTCTTGTGTGCCTGCCTGCCTTCATCTGCTGTCAGTTGCAGACATTTGTCGAAGGTTGCCTTGCCCGGTTCTAGATCGGAAGTGCGGAGAACAATGTTGGAGAAAATGCCCTTTTTATTTTCATATGACAGGCATAGGCGACACAGATTCATAGTTGCTGTCGTTGTTCTGTTTACATTCCCGCCCATCCATGGATATGAACGGCGAGGGAAGAACTAGGGCGCCGATGATGTTGAAGAGACAGACGCGCATTTGCATATATCTTGCTAGGGATATGAATGTATGTGTGGCAGCATTGCAGTTTGGTGGTTTGTTTTCAGCACATGCAGCAGAGGGTCCCGTCTGTCGAGACATACTGCTAGCTACAGTACATATTCATCAGGACTGACAGGGTGCATTTTGAACAGCAGACAGTCTGTAACAGGTAAAAACGCATGCTCCAGCTTGTTACCATGAGAAAGGCACATACATAGAGTGATTGATGCGATTTGCTTCACTGGTTTTTCATCTTATTGTGTGCTTCAATCTGCTGTCAATGTTTGATCCGTCCATCCAACTATTGTCTGTTCATCAGCACATGGCATATAGTGTACTAAAACCATATATAGTTTCAAAAATCAGACCGGGGAGGCTGTCGGTTTAGTTTTTGATTGGTCGGACAACTGGTTCATCTGTTCATTTCGTTTGCAATAAGAAAACCCGAAATATCTAGGTTATTCTTTAATATTAAAATTGGCCTTAAATCAAACGAATACATGTAATATTGGATGTCATCCCTTACTGAATGTGTTGCTAGCCTAGTTTTACAGGTCATTTAGTGTGCCTGGGCACAAAGAAAGAGTTCGGTCACAAGTTTTACAGGTCATTTTATGAATATCTTCAGGTTTTTTTAATCAAAAGATGAGTGCGCCTTAAAAACCGGACAGGGCATCGGTTCTGGGTTTTTCCTGTCGGACCGTCGGTTTGGTCCGGTTTTTGGAACTATTTATGGCTGAAACTGATGAGGATGGTGATGCACAGTACTACTGCGAATCTATGATCAACACTTCCTTCCTTGATCAATGCATGGAGCTTTTTTTTTTGCGGGTCAATGGATGAAGCTACTTCCTCCGGTCCTTTTTACTCTGCATATTAGAATTCTCTGGAGTCAAACTTCACAAAGTTTGACCGTATTTATATGAAAAAATATCAACATCTGGCATGCTAAAGTTATATAATATGAAACTTTAAGTCATGACACATCTAGTAGTATTGATTTCAGATTGTGAATGTTGGCAATTTTTTTTACAAAGTTGGTCAAACTTTACGAGGCTTGACTTCAGTCAAATCTTATATGCGAACTAAAAAAGACCGGAGGGAATACCTTTTTTGCACAGTCAAGACGGCTTTATATGTACTCCTTCTGTTATAAAATAAGTGTATTATTCTTAATAAATTTTTGCATCAAAGTTAGTATAAAGTCGAGACACTTATTTTAAGACGAAAATTGCGAGGGTAGTAAGAGCATCTACAGCCGGTCACCTCAAACCCGCCTCATACACCTGGTAGGGCTGCCTGGCTGCAAAATTTTGACCCAAACGGGCGTCTCAAACGCCCGGGCTGATCAACACCCCTCATATCCAGTCCAAATATGGGGCGGATATGGGACCCCCGGGCACGTCCACCACGCCATACTCGGCCGATGCTGGCCCATCCAACCCCACATATATTCATCCCCATCAGCTCGCCAGAGCAAATCCTAGCCACTTCACTCCACCCCTTTCGCCACCCGAGCTCACCTCTGGCGGTTTTCGGCCTTCTCCGACATGGCAGGAAGCGGTTCGGACTCCGATCAGTTCGGATCCATCGACTGGGGTGTCATCTCGTGCGGGTTGGACGATGCAATGGCAGCCTGCATTGCACTCCGGTGCTCCCGGGAGGACAACACCTGCCCGACGGACGGATCTATCCGCCACGACTCTATAGCGTCGGCTCAATGGGTGTTCGGGGCCTCTGGGGCTGGATCCTCGCGGTCCCGGCAGCCGGAACCCCTTTCCTTCCCTATTACCAGCCGAGCAGACTATGAGTCCCATCGGGAACGGGCGACCCGTCGTGGGAAGGAGAGGATAAGGGCCGCCGAGGCCCGTATCGCAGCGGAAATGGCGACGGGCGGGTGGCTGCAGAGGAGGAAGCCATCCGCGCCCGTATTGTGAAGAAACGGCAGCGGAGGAACACGCGCACCCTTGCCCCGAGAGCAGAATCGCGCAGTCCGTGCAATGGCCGAACTCCCACCGAAAGAGGAGAAGGCGGACAGTGACGGCGAGGACAACTCCCGGCGATGCGCAGATCCGGCTCGGTCCGTATTGCGTCTTCGACCGGTACTTCCGCGAGAAGGACGGCAAGGGCGAGGCCCGGAAGGGCAAGGGCGGCCGTGGATGAACTCCATCATAGTCAACACATGCCAAATTTTGATAGTCTATTGGATTTGAGATATGATAATTGAGATGTCCGGATGTAAATTACATTACTTGATAGGAGTGCCGAACGCGCCCGCGAGAGGTGAAATTTGCTCCGCTGTAATAATAAAGCATTTGGGATGAGGGCGACGGCGGCGTTGAGTCAGCAGCGCCGTGAGTACTAGAGTGTTGCTTTGCTATTGGGAGTGGTGAGAGGAGAGAGTTTTCAGGGCATCTCCAGCCGTTGGCCCCCCAGGACGCATAAAAATCGCCCCCTGGGGGCGAGCCGGCGATACAATCGGCGCTGGGGGCGGTTTTGCGCCCAGTCGTCGCCCCCCGGCGCCGAAATTGGCCCACCTTGTAGCCTAATTTCGGTGAATAAAGGGCCCATATAGGTGAGAATAGGCCCATATTCGGCGTGGTTTCGCCGTGTCTCGGCGTTCAATTATCAACACAATTATTAATTATTTTTTATCACATATTCATCACAGAAAAATCAAATACTTCAACAAAATAGTACAACAACAAATAGTTCAATACAAATTATGTAGTTCAACAAATAAAAACTCGTATTTCATCACATGGCGTCCCCTTGAGCCTCCATAGGTGCTCAATCAGATCTTTCTGCAGTTGATGATGCACCTGTGGGTCTCGGATCTCCTGACGCATACTGAGATAGGCAGTCCAAGTTGCCGGTAGCTGGTGATCAACTTCGGCTAGAGGACCCTGCCTGTAGTATGGTTCAGTGTCAAACAGTAGGTCTTCTTGCTCGCTCTCGATGATCATGTTGTGCAAGATGGCACAACAAGTCATAATCTCCCACATTTGATCTTTGGACCAGGTCTGAGCGGGGTACCGAACAACAGCAAATCGAGATTGGAGCACACCAAATGCCCGCTCGACATCCTTCCTGCAAGCCTCCTGAAGCTTCGCAAACCAGGTGTTCTTGCCTCCTGCCACAGGGTTTGAGATCGTCTTCACAAATGTCGACCATCTCGGATAGATGCCGTCAGTTAGATAGTACCCCTTGTTGTATTGGTGCCCATGGATCTCGAAGTTCACCGGAGGAGAATGACCCTCAACGAGCTTGGCAAAAACAGGAGAGCACTGCAGCACGTTGATGTCATTGTGAGTTCCTGGCATATCAAAGAAGGAGTGCCAAATCCAGAGGTCCTGTGTGGCTACCGCCTCAAGCACCACACTGCAACCGCCTTTGGCGCCTTTGTACATCCCCTGCCAACCAAATGGGCAATTCTTCTATTTCCAATGCATGCAGTCGATGCTTCCAAGCATCCCAGGAAATCCTCTTGCTGCATTCTGCGCTAGGATCCGAGCAGTGTCTTCCGCATTGGGTGTTCTCAAGTATTGTGGCCCAAACACTGCCACCACTGCCCGACAGAACTTGTAGAAACACTCTATGCTGGTGGACTCGGCCATGCGCCCATAGTCGTCGAGTGAATCACTGGGAGCTCCATATGCAAGCATCCTCATCGCTGTCGTGCATTTCTGGATGGAGGTGAATCCAAGAGCGCCAGTGCAATCCATCTTGCACTTGAAGTAGTTGTCGAACTCCCGGATGGAATTCACAATCCCGAGGAAGAGCTTTCGGCTCATCCGATAACGACGCCGAAATGTTCTCTCCATGAAGTGGAGCATCGACGAAGTAGTCGGAGTAGAGCATGCAGTAGCCTTGGAGACGATGCCGGTTCTTTGCTTTCACCCGCCCCGGCGCCGAGCCACCTCGCCGCGGCTTTTCATTGCTCGCCAGCAGCTGGGCGAGGGCGGCGAGCACCATGAGATGCTCTTCTTCTTGGACGTCGGCCGCGGCTTCCTCCTCCAGCAGCGCGGCGAGCTCTTCCTCCTCATCCGAGTCCATCGCCGAGACAGGCAAAACGCCGAACACCTTGCGCTCGGTGGGCGTGTACCCGCCGTTAAACCGCGCCTCCGCGGCCGGAAACACCCAGCTGCTGTGGGAGGGGCTGCCGCGGCGAAGCGCTGCTATTTTCCGGCGGGGAATGGCTATCTAGCGGAGTAGGGCGGCGGCCTTCGCCGGGATATAGCTAGTGGTGGCCGAGGGCACGGGGGGTGCGAGGCGAGTCGGAGGAAGAAAACCTTGACTTTTCCCTTGTCGGTGTGGGCCAGGCGTGCTTTTCCCTAGCGCCGGAGCCCCCAACTGCTCCCCAGCGCGCCGGGTCCGGCCTGTGACCGCCAGGCGGAAAAAAGGTCCGAACCGACGATTTTCGGCGTCCTGAAGACGCGACTGGGTTGTTTTTTCGATGCCGACGCTGAAAAATTGGCCTGGGACCTTGTTGGGAGCGCGGCTGCAGATGCCCTCAACTCGGGCGGAATTCCTCAACTCGGACGCTTCATCCATCTCATGTGCGCACAAGACGACGACCACGAGAGCTCACTCCCACACGCCTCGCCTGCTCGCCACTCGCTCCCTCTTCGCCTCGCCGGCGTCAGGGAAGGGCCACCGCCACCAGACACCATGTCCGCCGACCCGCCAAACCAGCCGGAGCAGAACGGCGACGGGTACGCGTACCTGTCGGGGCTGGGCAACAGCTTCGCCTCGGAGGCCGTCCCGGGGGCGCTACCCGCCAACGGCCACAACAGCCCGCTGCTCTGCCCGCTGGGCCTCTACGCCGAGCAGCTCTCCGGCACCTCCTTCACCACCCCGCGCCACCGCAACCTCAGAACGTACCTTCTTAGCGTCTTCCTCCCCTGCTCCAACCTCCAGTGGAGGCGAGGCTGAATCAAGATCCGCTCTTTCTTTCCGATTTGGTATGCAGGTGGATGTACCGGATCAAGCCGTCGGTGACCCACGACCCCTTCCACCCGCGGGCCCCGCCCAACCCGCGCCTCCTCGCCGACTTCCACGACCCGAACGCCGCCGTCGCCACGCCCACCCAGCTCCGATGGAGGCCCGCCGACCTGCCGCCCCGCGATGTGGACCTCGACTTCGTCGACGGCCTCTACACTGTCTGCGGCGCCGGCAGCTCCTTCCTCCGCCACGGATTCGCAGTCCACATGTATGTACTCTGCTGCTCCAACTGCTCCCCTGCTTCTTTCTGACTTGTTAATGTCTGAACTGAACTGAACCATCCTTCAGTTCAGACTGTTCAGCCCAACACTACACTCCACAGTTCATTCTACTATTCAGCAGCTCCAAATTCAGACCAAGATTGAATGGCCGATTGACTCTGCTGGTGTTGATGTTCCAGGTACGCCGCCAACAAGTCAATGGACGGGTGCGCCTTCTGCAACGCCGACGGCGACTTCCTCATCGTGCCACAGCAAGGGAGTGAGTGCAGCGCCTTTCACTCCAAACCACTAAATTCAGACACACTGTACCAGTATCTTCCTGCATCTAACCTCATGCTTCATTCCGATAAACTAACTCACAATTCAGCAACACAACCGCCGTTTCCTTTGTTACTACACCATACCCCGCTACGCCACCAGCAGGGTTATTATCACCTGGACATCCCACCGTTTGTTCCCCAACAGTCTCTGCTTGACATCCTTTTCAGTGCCCTGCCCATACCGTCTTGTGTCGTTGTATGTGTGATTGATAGCATTTGAAAAGAAAATCTGGACTGAAATTGCCTCATAATTTAGTCACACATTCTTTGTTAGTATACATACCGGAACCCACTACCAATAGGGCGATGATCGCGTCTTACTGTTGTTCCCCAAACTTATGTGCTCGCCGTCCTTTTCCAGTGTCCCGCTTATGTCGTCTTCTGTCGTCACGTGCGTTTGACAGCATAGTTTTCTCTTTAAAAAGTTCTAGAAAGAAAAAGGATTTTTTTTATTTCTTTATGTAATGATGCACTGCCTGTTAAGTTTTCATTACCTTTGATGAGAACGTCGATCCTCATTACTTCCACGGTTTTGGTGTCAAGCCCAGAGTTGTTGATCACAACCGAATGCGGAAAGATGCTGGTGCCGCCCGGCGAGATCGTCGTCATTCCTCAGGGCTTCCGCTTCGCCGTCGACTTGCCTGACGGGCCTTCGCGCGGCTACGTTTCAGAGATCTTCGGCGCCCATTTCCAGCTCCCTGATCTCGGCCCAATTGGTAATATACTCGTGCCTCTGCATTCTGTATTCTACTTAAGTCTGAATCAGCATGCTGTGCTGTTATAAGGTGCCTAATGTGTGGTTGGGGTGCAGGTGCTAATGGTTTAGCTTCAGCAAGGGATTTCCTCTCCCCCACGGCATGGTTCGAGCAAGCCCACCGCCCTGGATACGTCATAGTGCAGAAGTATGGTGGTGAGCTTTTTACAGCTACGCAGGATTTCTCGCCGTTTAATGTGGTCGCCTGGCATGGAAACTATGTCCCTTACAAGGTCTGTTGAGTCACTTTTAAGTTTTAGCTGTTAATTTTTGTCGTCTTCTTTATGCATCCTTCATTAAAGATTAACTCCCTGATTTCTTTTTGGTCCAACATCTTGCCATATTTGCCTAGCTTGATATTACTTATTTCCTTCTAGTACAATCTGAGTAAGCTCTACCATGTGTGCCTAACTTGATTTTGTTTCGTTTCAGTACGATCTGAGCAAGTTTTGTCCGTTTAACACTGTCCTGTTCGATCACGCTGATCCCTCAGTAAACACAGGTGACTGCTTCTTCTGACTGAGATAATACTTCAGTTTTCAGGGCCATTTTAGTTGATTCATGGGTTGGGGTTCTAAGGCTAACAACCTTGTGCATATATTGTTCCTCACTTTCAGTGCTTACTGCTCCAACTGACAAGCCTGGCGTGGCACTGCTTGATTTCGTGATATTCCCGCCACGATGGCTGGTGGCCGAGAACACGTTCCGACCTCCGTACTACCACCGCAACTGCATGAGCGAGTTCATGGGGCTGATCTACGGCGTGTATGAGGTAATGAATCTCTGGCCTCGGTATAAACTGAGATGAACTTGTTATCTGTTTCCTGAAGTCCTGAACTGAACTTTGCAACACAGGCTAAAGCCGACGGTTTCCTCCCAGGAGGCGCGAGCCTGCACAGCTGCATGACGCCGCACGGGCCAGACACCAAGACGTACGAGGCGACCATCAGCAAGCTTGGCGGACCGGACGCCAACACGCCGATGAGGCTGAGTGGCACGCTGGCATTCATGTTCGAGTCGGCTCTGATCCCGCGCGTGAGCCGCTGGGCCCTGGAGTCGCCGTCCCGGGACCTCGACTACTACCAGTGCTGGATCGGGCTCAAATCCCACTTCTCACACAGCGGCGATGACGGTGATGGAGCGGCGACAACCGGTGGCGACGACAAGGATGGCGAGAAGTAGCTCTGTTTCCGCAGGTAGGAAGTGAAATTCCTAGGCCATGTATATGTATGTATACTACAGTACTAGTTGTTACTTGTGTAAAGGGATAAAGCAAACAGTAATCAATCCAGTAAGCAGAATGTGCAGCATGCATGTACAATCAATCACCATCCTATCCGTTCCCATCACCATGCCATGTGTATAATAATAATGTCATTAGCAAGCAAAAACATGTACATTGATGGTGATGAGCAGTTGGTTCTCTTTTGTGGTTAGCAGCCTATTTATTGGCTGATTGTACCCTCACCACTTTTGTTGAATAAAGCTCCCCTGGTTAATTCTGTAAGGAAGAGGATGCAACTATAACTGTATTGAAAGAGGATCCTGGTTAATTCCTGAATAATGTGGATGCACCTTCAGTCTTCTGCTTGTGGTGTTGTACTGAAATCAGTTATGTTGACAGATACATACATGTATGTATCTATCTGTAATCCATATCGATTCATCACTGAATTTTGGCCATCAGTTAGCTGAATGTCGGGAGAATTGTGTGGGTATAAGCAAATTCGGCATCCATCCAAATTTTGCTTCAGGGATGAAGTGGAGATACATTTGATTCCAACCTGTTGCTAAGGCTGTGAGTAGAGTGTGATTGTTTCATGGAACAGCTAGCTTGTGCTGAAGATTGTTCAGATTTGGGAGGGAACTAGAGTCCTCTCAATCCTTGGCAACTTGCTCTGTATTTTTTCTAGATCGACCGATGTTTTAGTCTCTGTACGTAATTAACGCTCGAGTACGTATTTCCTTCTTTGAGTTCCACTTTGTAACTTTGAACTGTGGCGGTTTCTTGTTTGTATTTAGTGTTACAGATAATGCTATCATGATGAATTGTTAAAGCATATATTCTTTCAGACTTGGTGAATGCAGTTTAGCTGCTCTGTTGGTCTTCCATGATTAATTCCTAGTAGTCAGTACTTATGCTGATATTACTACAGTTTGTTCATTTTATGTATAAATACTTGCCTGAAGATATAAATCTAATTCAAGTGTGCAATTTATCTTTCTCGACTCAGGTGAGCAGTTTGGGCGGGTGTCTGTGTCTTCAAGTTTTAGTCATTGCAGTTATCAACTTACTCCCTCCGGCCCTTTTTACTCTGCATATAAGAATTGTCTGAAATCAAACTTCATAAAGTTTGACCATATTTATATGAAAATATATCAACATTTACAATGCTAATATGAAAATTAAAGTCATGACATATCTAAGGAAGTTGAGTTTACATTGTGAATATTGCTATTTTTTTCTATAAAGTTGGTCAAACTTTACGATGTTTGACTTCAGACAAATCTTATATGCAAACTAAAGAGGACCAGAGGGGGTACATAAAAATGTTTCTACTTGCACAATGTTCTTTCTTTCTACAATTAACCGTTGACTTTGGACCATCAGTCGGTTGCACCTGGATTGGACATACAGAGCGCTTCAGAAGTGTGTGGATAAAAGCAAATTCGGCAACAATTTTTGTTTGAGGGTTCGGCAACCAAATTTTGCAATCAGAAGTGTGACTCACATTGAGAAAGAACATTAACGAATCGTAAGGCGAAGGGGGGCGACAAACTCCACAGCAAAATCGGCTAAATCTATCATCGGAAGCGCACATGATTGTTGGAATTTTGCTAGTAGGTCTTTGGCCCAAAGCCCAACTAAAATTTTGAAATTCTCTTGGCCCATTCATGCACACATGTGAGTGGAGTGAGTGAGGCTAAAGTTTAGTCCCACATTAGAAGTTGAGAGAGAGTTGCACCTCTTTATAAGGTGAGCTCTTCTACCACTTGTATGAGCATGAGAAGAGGAGACCTACACGCGCGCTCCTCCTCCTCGCTCGCCGCGCCGCGCCGCGGGATTGAGCCGAGGACAGAGCTATGCACGTTGTCTTTCCGATTCTTTTGGATCGTAACGACCCGGCCCGCAATATATATAGTCAGGCATTGCGCCGCCAAGCTAGTCTTCTCCATCCCTCCTTCCGGCGTGCACCGCAAGAAGGGACAGCAGGCCTCCGGAACCCCGCCTCTCGTGATCCTGTACGGGAGAGGGGCGATCAGGTTTTTGGGGAGCGCACTACTGCTGGCAGCGACGACTTCGCGAACGACGACTTCTTCCCCGACCTCGGCAACCTCATCCTCGACGACATGGGCGACAACATCAACGCCGGCGGTGCTGCACCCGCTGCACCGTATGTGATTCTATCCTTCCTGTTCGAGATCGTGGTACAATTCATGTTTCTAGTATGTGCCCTAGATGTGATATGTTCATCTGCTATGCTAGTTCGCATGATTAGTTTAATCTCTGCTGCTGTGGTCATGATTTATATTCTGTTTATTCGGATTAAATCTCGTAGTAATTTGCTCATATTTTCAACAATCCAAAAACCTGAATATAGGCAATTTACTCCGAGTGGTTTTGCTGCGCATCTGAAACCGCCTGCCTTTAAGGGGGCGCAATATAAGAGGTGGCGCACGAGAGCAGTCTACTGATTTCAGACCATGGGCTGCTATGATGCCACCAAGGGCAAGCCTGAGGGCGATCTTAATCCAGCACAGCTGGAAGCTTTTGAGAAGATCGATACCCTCTTTAAAGGCGCTCTTCTGAGTGTTCTTGATGACTCCATTGTGGATTCGTATATGTCGTTTGACAACGGCAAGGACATGTGGGCTGCGCTCGAGGCCAAGTTTGGTGCCTCGGACGCCGGCAGCGAGTTGTACGTCATGGAGCAATTCTATGACTACAAGATGACTGATGAGCGCCCTGTTGTACAACAGGCTCATGAGATACAGTCGCTCGCAAAAGAACTTGAGTACTTCAAGTGTGTGTTACCGGACAAATTTGTTGCCGGAGGCATCATTGCCAAACTTCCACCTTCGTGGAACAATTTTGCTACTTCCCTGAAACACAAGAGACGGGAGTTTTCCGTTGCGGATCTCATTGGTACTCTTGATGTTGAAGAGAAGGCGAGAGCAAAGGACACACGTGCTCGAGTTGCTGAGGGAGGTTCTAGTGCTCACATGGTACAGAAGAAGAACTCCCAGCCCAACAAGTACAAAAACAATAAGAACAAAACTCAGGGCAAAGGCAAGTTTGATACAAAGAACAAGCCATCACATTCTACCAACTTCAAGAAGAATTCTCATAAGAAGGGGAAGGGACTTTGCCATGTCTGCGGTGATCCTAATCACTGGGCTCCAAAGTGTCCTAACCGCTTTGAGGAGCGCGAACATGAGAAGAGCGGCAAGTCCGCTAATGTTGTCATCGGTGATATTGATATGAAGGAATCAGGGTACGGTATTTTTCCTACCATCCTTTCAGTATTTCAATCCCCTGATTGGTTAATTGACACCGGTGCCAATGTACATGTTTGTGCTGACGCCTCCATGTTTTCTTCTTACCAGGCAACAGGGACTTCACCCGTGCTGATGGGGAACGGGTCACATGCCATCGTTCGAGGTATTGGTACGGTCGATCTGAAGTTTACTTCGGGAAAGACTGTGCGCCTGAAGAACGTTCATCATGTGCCATCCATTAATAAAAATCTCGTTAGCGGTTCCCGTTTATGTCGAGATGGTTTTAAGTTGGTTTTCGAATCCAATAAAGTTGTAATTTCTAAGTGTGGACAATTTGTTGGAAAAGGCTATGAGTGCGGAGGCTTGTTCCGCCTATCTTTGTCAGATATTTGCACTAAAGTTATTAATAATGTTTGCCACAATAATGAGTCTGATATTTGGCATTCACGACTCTGTCATATTAACTTTGGTTGCATGATGCGGGTAGCCAATATGAATTTAATTCCGAAAATCTCTACTGTCAAAGGTTCCAAGTGCCAAGTATGTGTGCAAGCTAAGCAACCTCGCAAGTCCCATAAGACTGCAGAGGCAAGAGACTTGGCGCCACTAGAGCTTATACATTCTGACCTTTGTGAGATGAATGGCGTGTTGACAAAAGGTGGAAAGAGATACTTCATGACGTTGATTGATGACTCCACTAGATATTGTTATGTGTATCTTCTGAAATCAAAAGATGAGGCTTTGACTTTCTTCAAAAACTATAAAGCTGAAGCAGAGAACCAACTTGATCGGAAAATTAAACGGCTTAGGTCCGATCGTGGTGGAGAGTATTTTTCCAATGAATTTGATTTGTTTTGTGCGGAACATGGTATAATCCATGAGAGGACGCCTCCCTACTCACCCCAGTCAAATGGGGTAGCCGAAAGAAAGAACCGAACTCTAACTGATATGGTTAACACCATGTTAGACACTTCGGGTCTATCCAAGGAATGGTGGGGGGAGGCGCTAATGACTGCGTGTCATGTCCTAAACCGAGTTCCCACAAAGCATAAGACCATGACTCCATTTGAGGAATGGGAAAGGAAAAGGTTGAAACTCTCTTACCTACGTACTTGGGGTTGTTTGGCGAAAGTCAATATACCAATTCCCAAGAAGCGCAGGCTTGGACCAAAAACCGTGGATTATGTTCTTCTGGGCTATGCTTTTCATAGCATCGGCTATAGATTTTTGATAATAAAATCTGAGGTATCCGACATGCATGTTGGTACGATTATGGAATCAAATGATGCAACTTTCTTTGAGGACATATTTCCTATGAAGGATATGTCGAGTTCATCAAATCAGGAGATACCTACTCCATCTAGTGAGGAATTCACTGTAATTCCTGAACCCACCATTGCGATGGAACACGTTGAGAATCCTGTTGAGGGTAACAATGGAACTCCTGTGAGGAGTAAGAGACAGAGGACTGCAAAGTCTTTTGGTGATGATTTCATTGTGTACCTCGTGGATGACACACCCAGGACTATTTCAGAAGCCTATGCATCTCCTGATGCTGACTACTGGAAGGAAGCTGTACGTAGCGAGATGGATTCCATCTTAGCTAACGGTACCTGGGAGATCACTGACCGTCCATATGGGTGCAAACCTGTAGGATGTAAGTGGGTGTTCAAAAAGAAGCTTAGACCTGATGGTACGATTGAAAAGTACAAGGCACGGCTTGTGGCCAAGGGTTATACCCAGAAAGAAGGTGAATACTTCTTTGATACTTACTCACCCGTGGCTAGACTGACCACAATTCGGGTGCTACTATCACTGGCTGCCTCACATGGTCTTCTCGTTCATCAAATGGACGTTAAGACGGCTTTCCTTAATGGAGAGTTGAAGGAGGAAATTTACATGGATCAGCCAGATGGTTTTGTAATACCTGGTCAGGAAGGAAAGGTGTGCAAGTTATTAAAGTCTTTATATGGCCTTAAACAAGCTCCTAAGGAGTGGCATGAGAAGTTTGAAAGAACATTAACTGCTGCCGGCTTTGTAGTAAACGATGGTGACAAGTGCGTGTACTATCGCTATGGTGGGGGCGAAGGAGTTATTCTTTGTCTGTATGTCGATGACATATTGATCTTTAGAACCAAACTTGATTTAATCAAGGAGGTTAAGGATTTCTTATCTCGCTGTTTTGAGATGAAGGATCTAGGAGTAGCTGATGTTATCTTAAACATCAAGCTGTTGAGAGATGAGAATGGTGGGATCACACTGCTTCAGTCTCATTATGTGGAAAAGGTCTTGAGTCGTTTTGGGTATAGCGACTGCACGCCTTCTCCAACTCCATATGATGCTAGTGTGTTGCTTCGAAAGAATCGACAGATTGCTAGAGATCAACTGAGGTATTCTCAGATTATTGGCTCGCTTATGTATTTGGCGAGTGCCACGAGGCCTGACATCTCTTTTGCTGTGAGCAAGCTGAGTCGGTTTGTGTCAAAACCGGGAGATGATCATTGGCATGCGCTTGAGAGAGTTATGCGCTATTTGAAAGGCACCGCTAGCTATGGGATTCACTACACCGGGTATCCAAGGGTACTGGAGGGTTATAGTGACTCAAACTGGATATCTGATGCTGATGAGATTAAGGCCACAAGTGGGTATGTTTTTACACTTGGTGGTGGCGCTGTTTCCTGGAAGTCTTGCAAGCAGACCATCTTAACGAGGTCAACTATGGAAGCAGAACTCACAGCATTAGACACTGCCACTGTTGAAGCAGAGTGGCTTCGTGAATTCTTGATGGACTTACCTATGGTTGAAAAACCAATACCCCCTATCCTGATGAACTGTGATAATCAAACTGTGATCGTCAAGATAAACAGTTCTAAGGACAATATGAAGTCCTCAAGGCATGTGAAGAGGAGACTAAAATCTGTCAGAAAATTGAGGAACTCCGGAGTTATTACGTTGGATTATATCCAAACGTCGAAAAACTTGGCAGATCCCTTCACAAAGGGTCTATCACGTAATGTGATAGATAATGCATCGATGGAGATGGGTTTGAGACCCACCGCATGAGTTGTCCATAGTGGTAACCCACTCTATGTGATCGGAGATCCCGTGAAGTAGAAGTGGGAGACAAGCTGTTGGTCAGCTGGGAGGAGAGTATCCCTATATTAATTATCCCACTCCGTAAAGATGCAATACTCTCCTGATCTGCATGGCAGGTTGATAATTATCTTAATGTGTTCCAAGTGGCTTATTCGGGTAAGCAGAGATGTTGTCCTGCAGAACATCTTCTGAGGAACACACCTATATGAATTTGATTGTCAACGTCGCAGTCTGTGAGAATTGGGTGTTCTCTAATAAATTCATGAAAGGCCCTGGAGTATGACGTATACGCTCCACCCGCGGGGAAGCCTTGCGGCAGCCCAGTATCGGTCAAGAATTTGTGTGAAACTAGTTTCACAGAAAACTTGTAGTTCAAGGCATAGTCCACTATTCAAGTTGTGATTTAGTGTAGTATAAATTTCTAAGTGGAAGTTCAACTTCACAGTCTCCACTAAGCACCGATATATAAAACATTGTTTTGGAACTAAATGATGAGATGTGCCAATGAGACTTTGTGGGGGATTGTTGGAATTTTGCTAGTAGGCCTTTGGCCCAAAGCCCAACTAAAATTCTGAAATTCTCTTGGCCCATTCATGCATACATGTGAGTGGAGTGAGTGAGGCTAAAGTTTAGTCCCACATTGGAAGTTGAGAGAGAGTTGCACCTCTTTATAAGGTAAGCTCTTCTACCACTTGTATGAGCATGAGAAGAGGAGACCTACACGCGCGCTCCTCCTCCTCGCTCGCCACGCCACGACGCGCCGCGGGTTGCGGGATTGAGCCGAGCCGAGGACAGAGCTATGCACGTTGTCTTTTGGATCATGACGACCCGGCCCGCAATATATATAGTCAGGCAGACGTCTACCCTAGCCGCCGCTTCGTATGGTTTCTCATCACCGTGGTCATGATTTATATTCGGATTAAATCTCGTAGTAATTTGCTCATATTTTCAACAATGATTCACACTATTTCGTTTCATCGAATTTTCACAAACCATTTGAACAAACAAGATGGATGATGCACCACACTCACACGGCAGGCACCGAGAATCGCATGACGGTCGAGCATGCATAAGCCATTTCCCCTGGTTTTCAGCTGCCCATCCACACCCAGCACGCAAAAGGAAGGCCTCATCGCTTCCATGTGATTTGCCCCCGCCCCATTTCCCGGAGATATAAACACATCTGGCCCACTCTTCATGCATCATCCATGCTGCTGCTCTGACCGACCGAATGCGCAACATTCTACTCATCACCCTGCTTCTTTCATTCGGCATTGGTACAGTGGGTGATGTGCACGCTCTTCTGTCGATTCCCTCCCGCTGTGATCGTGCCTGCTAACAAGTGCAATTCAAATATTCTGTAAGTGCTGTGATGGTCTCTTATTTATGTCAGTACTGTTCGACGTTTACATGTCATATTTCCTATTTCCAAAAAATATTATATCAAACTGCTGCATGCATGTAGAAATTAAGGTGGCAAAACCTCCCAACAGTAAAAGAGAGAACCTGATTATGGATATTCTTTCCAAAATTTCTGACCTCTTAAACCCTGCTTTTGCCATCAGGTCTGGCTTGATAGTGGCAGAAGAATATTGTGTTTGTGCTGTAAAAAATACAAATGTGGAAGCTCAAGATTGCTGAGGGTGGCCCGTGGCTCACGAGCGGTAACAATCACGTCGGAAGAGAAACATGGGAGTTTGACCAAAATGACACCGGATCAAGCGAAGAGCGGGATGCGGTCGACGCTTCACGGGCCGAATTCCAGAAGAACAGGTTCAGGACAAGGCACAGCTCCGATGTTTTGGCCCGCATGCAGGTAATTAAAATGCACCGATATATACACACCTTGTCTTGGTGGTATCTATCCAACTGAATATTTGAAGCGTTTTTATGAAACTGAGTACATGCTCTGCTTTTTGTTGTGCAGCTAGCAAAGGGGAATAAGTTCAGCCTTGACCAACAACAGAAACCAAAAGATGATGAAACTAGTGGTGATATCAATATAGCTACGGTGTCGGAGACACTGAGAAGGGCACTCAGATACTTCTCAGCCGTACAAGCGCATGATGGGCACTGGCCAGGAGATTTTCCGGGGCCTCTCTTTACCACAGCAACCATGGTAATTAAGATGCATCATACATAAATTTGATGTTTGTTTGTTTGTATCATCATCACCATCAAGTTAGTTATGATAAACATTTATTTAGATGGTTATGCGTGCTATATATTCTTGCTAACTATTCACAACTTTGGTGTGACATCGACATGGGAGACATTCTCATGTTTGTTCATTCCTGCTTGCTGCAGATCATAGTTTTGTATGTCACGGAGTCGTTAGGTACTACGCTATCGTCAGAACACCGCAAGGAGATCTGTCGCTATCTGTACAACCGACAGGTAAGGTGCACGTACATTTTCCAGGAAATTAATCATGGGCAACTTTTAGCAAGTTCTGTTTTCCACAATATATATTTTCACTAAAACTGTTTCTACGTATGTCTTCAAAATTTTACACAAGAAAAAATTATATCGTCAAAAATAGACTGACCCAAGTTTTTGTATTATCAGAATATGGATGGAGGATGGGGACTACATGCGGAAGGCGAGAGCTCCATGCTCAGCTCAGCTCTCAACTACACTGCTCTAAGACTACTTGGTGAGGGTGCTGATGATGGACCGGATATGTCCATGCCGAAAGCAAGGAAATGGATACATGACCATGGTGGTGCAACAATGATACCAATCTTGGGAAAAGTCTGGCTCTCGGTAACAATCATCGTCCTTGTGCCGGCTCCAAGTTTCTATTTTCAGCAAGTGATTCACAAGTTAGCTTGATTCGCCAAACATTTGACGCTTCTTGTTAATATACTAAGAGTAAAAAATATGTTCTTGTTAACAAGCAAGTCAACTGCATGCTTTCAGTTATGCAGAATACTTCAACAAGAGTAAAAGTTTGACAAAACTATTTATGTCGATCGACCCGAAGCGCATATGAACTATATACCTGATGCTGCAGGTACTTAGGGTTTTTGAATGGTCAGGTGTAAACCCTATGCCCCCAGAATTGTTCCTTCTGCCATCCTTCGTTCCTATTCAACCAGGTACGCAGAGTTCTTCGCCGGCGCGTTAAGTGTTCAACCATGTTACGACAATTAATTACTTGGTTATTCAACACTAGGCATGAACCATATTAGGAAGAGCTTATTTTATGAGAACAATCATGTGGTTTCTCAAATGCAGGACGGTTGTGGAGTCACTTCAGAATGGCTTTCATCCCCATGTCCTATTTATATGGCAAGAAGTTTGTTGGCCCAATAACAAAACTCGTTTTATCATTAAGGGAAGAGCTGCATATTCACCCCTACAAAAAGATTAACTGGAAGCAAGCACGCAAATTATGCGCAAAGGTGAGTCCACTAACTACATAGTTTTACCGTTTGTTCTGCAAGTATTCTACGTGATTTCACATTTAGATTTAATTTCATATGTAGAGTTCTGATCTGTCACAGTTACAATCTGTCCTCACAACTAGAATAAACTGTCAGTGAATTTCTTGTTCAGTTTTAAAGGATTGGTGACAACAGATTATGAATTCAAATGCAGGAAGATGCCTATCATCCACATACCTGGCTCCAAGAATGCTTGTCCGATTGCCTTTACAGTTTCGGTGAACCTTTTCTGGCATGTTGGCCAGTTTCCTACATGAGACGAAAAGCTCTACGACAAATTGCTGATTTCCTGAAATACGAAGATGATATTTCACGGTATATCTGCATCGGCGCCGCGCAAAAGGTAAGGCTTGCGGAGGTCTTATCAAAATAATTCAGTGCTGATTTTCAGTGAGCTGTAAATGAACATCATTTCCTCACAAAGAATAAACATTATTACAGGCATTATCCATGTTATGCTGTTGGTCTGAGAATCCCAATTCAGATGCATTCAAGCACCACTTGGCTAGAGTTGCTGATTTCCTATGGCTCGGCGAAGATGGGATGAAAGTGCGGGTAAATTTTAATGACTCTTGTTTCTGTAATATACAGGGCGAATATATCCTTCCAATTTAAAATGCATCTCAGTCAAATTGAAATTTGTGCACAAACTAACTGATGTTACACAACTTCATTGTTCATTCAAAAGGTGTGTGCAGGTCAATCATGGGATGTCGCTTTCGCCGTACAAGCGATATTAGCGGGTGATGTTGCAGAGGAATTTGGAAGCACTCTCAAGAAAGCACACCATTTCATAAAAGCATCCCAGGTATTAATTTTCCAGAATTGAATCTTGTTACTTATATTTCTCTTGACTTAATCCCTAACCCTACTAACTTAATTTTGTTAAGATTGTGGACAATCCTTCAGGTGACTTCGCCAGAAAGTACCGTCACATTTCTAAAGGAGGATGGGCCTTCCAGGTTGCGGATCAGGGCTGGCAAGTTTCAGATTGCACAGCAGAAGCTCTTAAGGTGCGATATCAAATTAGCTAAAGATGCAAAATAAAGTGGACAGAACTAAAATGGAAACATGCCTTTCATTTTGCTACTACAAAGTAATGCATTTCATTTTGTTTCAGCCTTTCAGGCTTTTGTAATTCCTCTGTTTCAGGCTCTGTTACTGCTCTCAAAGTTTCCGTCAGATATCGTGGGTGATCAGATGGAAACATGCCGCTTCCATGATGCAGTGAACATATTATTATCTTTACAGGTGTGGAAACACATGTTGTACTTCAGATTCTATATTTTGGTCTGTGCATAGACAGGGGCATGTCCGTAAAGTTGGGTAAATGTTAGTTTTCAGTTTGATGCTAGTGAATAATTCAGCACTAAGGCCATATGACTGGTAACGAAAGGCAGATTCAGTACAAGCAATGTCTACTCTTATGTGCAAGTTCTGTCAGGTTGTGTAAAAATGATTTGACACTAGTAGGTTGTCTGCAGAATCCTAATGGTGGCTATGGAACTTGGGAGCTAGCTCGTACACATCCTTGGGTGGAGGCAAGTGTCTTGTAAAACACCTGCACTTCATGCTATTATTATTTGGAGTTTAGGAAACTCAATTTAACATTGGGTAATGAGACTTTTAATATATTTTTCCCTTTTTCAGAATTTAAACATGACAGAGATATATGCAGACATCATGGTGGAGCATCAGTAAGAAATCTACAACTTTTCTTAGCAATAGCTCTTGCATGTGACTCAATATTAATGCACATACATATCACAGGTACGTCGAGTGTACCTCGTCGGTCATCCAAGCATTGGCCCTGTTTCGGCAAAAATACCCCGTGCATCGGGAAGATGAAATAGAACAGTGCATCAGGAGAGCGACAGAATTCATCGAGAAGTCACAGAATGAGGACGGTTCATGGTCAGTCTACTATCAAAAGAATTCTAGTGTTTATAAGTATTAACAAGGAGAAGGTGTGTTCTTGACACATTGCTACCTTTCATTAGCTAACTAAACAAGAAAATGGTCACATATTGAACTTTTGGTAAAATGCTGCAACTTCTCTTGATGGAGAAATTAGCAATCGATGGTCATTAAGTTATTTTGCAGGTTTGGATCATGGGGTGTTTGCTTCACATATGGCACATGGTTTGCTATAGGGGGCCTATCAGCAGTTGGACAGTGTTACAATAACAGCACCTACATTCGGAAGGCTTGCCAGTTTCTATTATCGAAGCAGCTAAGGAATGGTGGATGGGGTGAGAGTCATCTTTCATCCACAACCAAGGTAAACGCTGTCGAATGACTTCTTATGTTGATGAACAGAAAGTGCTCACATCTTTGAGAAAATCAAGTATCCTGGCAAAGAAAATATTCTTTATTCTTTCTTCTTCCTTTTTTTTCTTTTTTTTTGCGGGGTTATTCTTTCTTCATTTCTTTCTTCAATATACCTTGAAACAAGATACTGGCAAAAACACATGCACTTCCTATGGTAACTGATCACACATGTCATCTCAAATTCTGAACAGGCTTACACGAACCTAGATGGGGAGAAATCACACATAGTCAACACCGCATGGGCGATGTTGGCGCTAATGAAAGCTGGACAGGTGTTCACTTCTCTTTCTCTCTCCAAATGTCAAATTCCAAAGAACTACCATGGAGTTAATGCACCTTTAGCCCCAGAATAATTGAACCAATCTATAGTATAACTTCTGATCTTGGGAAAAAAATTATAGGATAACTTCAAGGTTCAGGTTCTAATTAGTTCCATTGAATTATGAAGTATTGAATTAATTCTAGCTTTTCTTCGAAGTTCAGGGCGAAAGAGATGCATCTCCTTTGCACAAAGCAGCAGGACTTATCATGAACATGCAACTCGGCAATGGTGACTTCCCTCAGGAGGTAACTACTGCTACGATGTACCATGTGTTATACACTTATACTACAATTTGATCCAAAATCCTATATTCTGATCTTATATTCTTATCTTATAATGCTATAATACTATAATTTGTTGTTATTATGCAGGAAATGATTGGAAGTTTCTTGAAGAATGGCCCCTTATGTTATATGGCTTATCGCAACATATTCCCCATATGGGCCCTTGGAGAGTATCATAGATTGGTACTTTGCTCCGACTAAATTAGTTACTTCGGGTATGGAGCAACTGAATTATGCTCCTCTGTTGGCAATGCTACCCTATGAACCCGGCAGGCTGAAAGTGATTTCTTGAAAGAAAAAGAAGATTTGTATGTCTTGAAGGAAGAAACAAGAAGATAGTCGAGTAATTATAGGTGGTGTGCATATATGAACATGGTACAGAATATTATCTGTTGTAATCGATTCATTAATTTGTTGTAAATTGTACAAGATTCTCCAAAATTTTTTGTACAATCATTGCTATGCAGATGTATTAGTACTATTAAATAATTAATTATTGATACAGTAGCTTGTTGTGTACTTTATGCAATTAATTATTAGTGCACAGTGGTACAGATAGTTGTGTACTGTACTGCATAGTACTGTGAATTAATTATTATTAGTACTGGTATTCCAGATATTTTTAGTATTAGTTAACCTATTGCAGTAGCTTGTTGATTTATTATTATTATTATTATTATTATTATTATTATTATTATTATTATTTGTGCGATTGCGGTAAACGTCTCGCCTATCCTGGCAGACGTGTTGCGTGTTAAATAGAGGGGTTGCGAGCCCAAATACGCGTACAAGTTGGTTAGGAGATTACATCTTGGGAAGGAAGAAAAGCTAGAGATAAGAAAATAAAGATTACAAGATACTTATCCAACTAACTACTTCCAACGGTGGTGAACTCCTCCTTGTACACGCAATGCATGCGCAACATTATCATGTTTGACACCCTCCCTTAATCACAACTTCATTAGGTTGAGATTATACTTGAAGTCTTCAAAACTTCTTGTAGGCAGAGCTTTGGTAAAGCCATCAGCAACTTGGTCTTGAGAATGAATAAACCGAATATCCAGAAGCTTGTTTGCAACTCTTTCTCGAACAAAGTGAAAGTCAATTTCAATATGCTTGGTCCTAGCATGAAAGACTGGATTTGCTGACAAATAGGTAGCACCTAGATTATCACACCACAAACATGGAGCTCTAGTGCTTTTTATATCTAGTTCCTTTAAAATTGACTGCACCCATATGATCTCTGCTGTTGCATTAGCCAATGCTTTGTATTCTGCCTCTGTACTGGATCTTGAAACTGTGGCTTGCTTTCTTGCACTCCAAGATATCAAATTTGGTCCAAAGAATACCGCAAAACCACCAGTCGAGCGTCTATCATCTGGACACCCGGCCCAGTCTGAGTCAGAAAAGGCACTGACAAGTGCAGAAGATGACTTGCTGAAGTTTAGACCAATGTTCAACGTATTTTTCACATATCTTACTATACGTTTTGCAGCAGTCATGTGAACAGTGGTAGGTGCATGAAGAAACTGACATACTTTATTGACAGCAAAAGAGATATCTGGTCTAGTCAATGTTAAGTATTGAAGTGCACCTACCAGACTCCTGTATTTTGTACTATTTTCTGAATTCAGAGGCTCTCCTTCAACAAGAGACAATTTTTCTGTGCTAGACAAAGGAGTGGGTGCAAACTTACAATTTTGCAAACCAGCCTTTTTTACCAAGTCTGTTGCATACTTTTGTTGAGAGAGGTGTAGACCATCCTTGTGTTGCTTGACCTCAATACCAAGAAAGTAGTGTAGATCTCCTAGATCCTTTAAAGCAAACTCTGCACTTAAATCCTTCAACAATGCTGTTATTGCTTCATCAGATGAACTTGTTACAATTATATCATCAACATAAATAAGGACAAATATGGATATTCTTGACTTGTTATAGATAAATAACGAAGTGTCAGACTTTGAAGGAACAAAACCAAGTGTTTGCATCTTTTTACTGAGGCGAGAATACCATGCTCTTGGGGCCTGTTTCAGTCCATACAACGCCTTGTCAAGTTTGCACACATGAAGTGGTGCCTGTGCATTTACAAACTCAGGAGGTTGTTTCATGTAAACCTCTTCTTCCAGAACACCATGGAGGAACACGTTCTGAACGTCTAGCTGTCGTAAACTCCATCCCCTAGACACAGCAATGGACAAGACAAGGCGTATGGTAGCAGCTTTAACAACTGGACTAAATGTGTCCTCATAGTCAATACCATACCTTTGTTTGAACCCCCTTTGCAACGAGTCTGGCTTTATAACGATCAATGGTTCCATCAGCTTTTCTTTTTATCCTAAAGACCCACTTACAGTCAATAAGATTTTTACCTTTTCTTGAAGGGACCAAGTGCCATGTTTTATTTTTTCCTTAGTGCCACAATTTCATCATTCATTGCCTTTCTCCAATTAGCATCACCAAGTGCTTCTTCAAGAGTGTTAGGTTCTCCTGGTTCACCTGTTGAACAAATCATCCCATGTTTTGTAATATGTTTATAATCAACAGGTTTAATTTTGCCTTGCTGTAGCCGTGTGCGGCGTGGAGCAGTAGTAGGAGCCGCTACAGAGAGCCCCGGCGCAGAGGATCCCACGCCTGGATCTGGCTGATCTCCCCCCGATCCCAAGGAGGATCCTGACACGGCTCCAGAACCGGTAGTGTCGGCGACATCAGGTTGGTCGGGATCTTCTGCGGCCGTCCGCTGCGACGCAAGCGGCAAACCAGCCACAGAGGATCTGGGCTGAGCCGCGTCATCATTTCCTCGTGATCGCCTGGGCCCGGCCTCGTCCGGATTTGTCCCCGCCTCAGCCCGGCGAGTCGCTGCCCACCGCTTGTAGATGACTGGTTGGGCCTCAGGCCACGCACGGCCCAGGCCAGCACCAGCCTGCCATCTGCTGGACGGTGATTGGTGTGGACGAGGGGAGTCGTCGCGGCCATCCGGATTCTGCCGCGTGGCTGACGCGGGCGGCTCAGCGTGCCCACCGGCAGCTGTCGGAGCTGTCGCGGCAGGATCGCTGCGGGGCACCGATCCCAAGGTGGATTCGCTGCACGGCAGCTCCTGGGCAGATCCCAAGGGAGATTTGCTCCCCAGCTCAGGGCACATAAAATATGGATCTGCTGCCAAATTTTCTTTGCTATTTTCGATGATTTCTTCACGAGTTCTTCCTGCATCACCACAAGACTCATAAAGGCTATTAGTAGTAGGGTTAGGGTTAGTCATATGATCATCACAATTATTAATGCCCCCTTGATCATAGCCAGAGAGGTGAGGTGGTAAAAGCAGGATTTCCTTGCCTAAGAGAGCTCCGGCATTAGGATGTAGATTGCGAAAGGAAATTTGGTCTCATCGAACACGACATCGCGTGAGATGTAAACCCGTCCGGTGGAGATGTCAAGGCACTTGACGCCTTTGTGCTGGGCACTATAGCCAAGAAATGCACATTGTTTGGATCTATACATAAGCTTGTGGCTATTGTACGGACGGAGATTTGGCCAACAGGCACAACCAAAAACACGGAGAGATGTGTAGTCTGATTTGACATGGAGGAGGCGTTCCATAGGTGTTTCATTATTGATGACATGGCTAGGAAGCATGTTGATGATATGGACAGCTGTAAGAAACGCCTCGTCCCAAAAATCGAGGGGCATGGACGCCCCTGCTAGAAGAGCCAAACCGACCTCAACTATGTGTCTATGCTTGCGTTCGGCCGACCCGTTTTGTTGGTGAGCGTGTGGGCATGACACATGGTGGGATATGCCTATGTTTTGGAAGAAGGAATTGAGTTTCTCGTATTCCCCTCCCCAATCGGATTGGACAGCTAGGATTTTGCTGTCAAACTTCCTTTCAACAAGTGCTTGGAAGTTTTTAAACACTTGAAACACATCGGACCTTTTTTTTAAGAAGATAGATCCATGAGAACTTGCTATAGTCATCGATGAAACTCACATAGTAGGTGTGTCTACCAACAGAGGAGGGAGCATGCCCCCACACATCAGAGAAAATCAGTTGCAAAGGCTTAGTGGAGACACTAGTAGATATGGGATATGCACTGGTAGAAAAAGGGCCTACAGTCCCGATTCGTAAGGGCCTTTAGTCCTGGTTCCTGAACCAGGACTAAAGTGTCGGTACTAATACCTCCCCCCTATAGTCCCGGTTCAATCCAGAACCGGGACTAAAGCCCCTCCATGTGGGCAGTGCGCAGAGCCCAGGCAGGAGACCCTTTGGTCCCGGTTGGTGGCACCAACCGGGACCAATAGGCATCCACGCGTCAGCATTTCTGTGGCTGGGG